GAAAGTTTAACTAATTGGTGTGTGTTATCTGGTTTCATGGATAGATAAAGGTAGATATCATGCGCATACCAATGAAAATGTCCCAGTGTTTTATAGTAATACTTCCAAAGGGAAATATATATTATATAAAAATATTGATCCTACCAAAAAAACCCTCTTTAACTCGGTAACTAACATATGCGTGTGTGTGAGGAACACTCAACATCTACATGCATGAGTTTGACCCTATCACAGCTACCGTAGGGCAAGAGGGTACACTCTGGACAGATTGGCAGTCTGTCACAGGGCCAAAAGAGACAAAAGAGACAAATAAGTCATGCCAGTGGGATGGAAAAATTGGCATCTGGGAATAACTCCCAATAGAGCATCAGAATATTTTTTTGAGAATATGTTCTAAAAATATCAATGTGCCACAATGCACATAAATTGAGATTATATTCACAGTTTGATCTATGAACAAGGTTGAATTTACATCATCAACCTATTTAAAAATACTCAAAATACCAAAAGTACTAAAGTAGAGTGATCATTATTGTATGCTGACAAGGGATGCTTGTCAGAGTCAGTAAATTCAAACCACTTTATATAAAACTGATTTATATGCTTTGAGTGATTTAACAAATTTCTAAACAGCAAAAGCCCCTGTGTGGATATCCTAACTAGGGTATTGTGAAATATAGACTTTATGACAGGTCACAGCAATATGCATAAATAAGACCTCAGCAGGCAGCTGCCCAGAGCTTTGCACTAAAGCTCAATTTGCAATGAAGCTCTCAGAACTAATCTCATCTCATGGATGTTGATGCAGGCAAAGAGAATGTGACTAACCTGAATCTTACATAAGCCATGGCATGTCCTGCAAAAACAGGAACACCACGAGGACACATACTCACCTCATTTCACTTGACAATAAAATAAACCACGAGTTAGCAGAGCTTCAGGGCACACAGAAGTACTGCATGAATGACTAAAATGGCCAAAGCTGTGTTCAAGATTATTCATTTTCACCTCTTTTACTTCATCGATTCTCACACCTGTACCACACATTATGAATTATTATATACTTGCCTTTACACAGGCACATTTGTCCTACTAAAGTGGATGGTAAATAGGGAAGGATTAATGCTGCTGGAAATCAAGGACACACTTACCATCACCCCCCCCCCCCCCCCCCATTTTAAGATAATAAGAAAACTGCTGTATTTAATAAGACAAAGCATTTTATTGACCATCAAAATTAATGTGATCATATATTGTATTATTAATTGACACTAATAAACTACTCACCAGTCACAGGAACATATACTGAGCTGATAGGAGTTTATTAACCCCTGACAGAAGAGACATGACGGTAAGACAGACATTCAGAAAATCTTGAGATAAATGCTCCATGTATAGATGTTATTACTGTGAGACTATTGCCCATTCCTTAGCCTGCCTTTTAAAAAGGCAGGCTAAGGAATGGGCAATAGTCTCAAAAAAAAAGTACTTTTTTTTTGTACTTTAAAAAAGTACAAAATTGTAAATGTACAGACAGGAAAAGGAGGGATGAGAAGGATACAGAAATAAATCAAGCACCATATGGCAGATGCCCCAGTGAACATCTGGCAGTGAAGTCTGTGGCAAGCTGAAGCTGACATTTCAGACAGGCGCTGTGGTCTTTGCACAGATCCGATTTGATTCCAGGTTAAAGAAGGTCAGAAGGGATAACACAGCGGAAGGCAGGTTATGGCTGGGGCAAAGGCATGAGCACACACATGCACACAGACACAGGGTGTTGCTATCCTAGTGGGGACATCTGATTGGGATAATGCTTTCCCTAGCCACTTACCCTAACCCTAACCATCAAAAATGAATGCCTAACCCTAACCCTTACCCTTACCCTAACCATAACCTAATCACACTAAAACCACATTTTGGGGACCTGGAATTTGGTCCCCACGAGGACTGTTGGTCCCACCAGTATAGTAAATTTCAGATTTTGGTCCCTACCAAGATAGGAAAAATCGGTATACTACACACACACACACACACACACACACACACTGTCTGTGAGCTATTTATAAAAATTGTTTTAGTGTTAGCCGGACTGAAAGTATAAAGTGAGGTTAGTCCAGCAGTGGCATTTTCATCCATCCTTGGCTTTCCTCCTCCTGCTGCTGCTTTCAGACATGTGACTCATTTGCACTTGTTCTTGCTCCTGACATTGAGCAAGCTTAGATTACACAGCCTTCTTACAACAGATATACAGCCAACAACATCATCAGAAGTAAAGTCTCTACTGTGAAAAGCTTAGCAAGAAAAAAACCCAGGCCAATGGATATGGGGTGATTAGTGACAGTACCATGAATTGACTGCTTTGTCACATAGTGTTTTTTTGTGATAAATTAAGTGCTTAAGCTACTCGGCTTCCTCTTATTATAGTCCAAAGACATGCAGTTAGGCTTCAGTCCCCCTGTGACCCTGCCACAATCATCCCATCACTTGCCTGAAGGATTATCGTCCTGTGGCCCTCACTCTGGTAATCATGAAATGCTTCAAGAGACTAGTCCTTCAGCACATCAAGGACTCTCTCCCCCAAGACCTCCACCCCTACTAGTCTGCATACTGCGTGAACAAAGCTATCTCCCGATGCTCTTCGTGGATTACAGCTCAGCTTTCAATACAATCATCCCGAACATCCTCATCACCAAACTGGTCAATCTTGGGCTCCTCCTCTCTGCTTGGATAAAGGACCCACACACATGCATGGCCCCAGACTGTGAGACCTGACCCACATCTCTCTTCCACCTGCACGCCGAGCACTACAGGTGCACCAGTGCAAAGACCGACAGACTCAAGAACAGTTTCGTCCCAAAAGCCATATTCGCCCTGAAGTCACACATTCACTGACAACACAGTTTCGCCCCCCAATCCAAAGACTTCCCTCTATACACAGACTATGCAAACTACCATCACTATTTTGAAATGTTACATTTACATGCAATTGGGTTATTGCACTGTAAATACATAATCCAATGTAATTATTTTTATATTTGTATACAGCGCCACAGAACTCTGCACCTCTAAATCCTTTTTTTGTTTTTACATGTCTGCACTTGCTCTGAACCTCATTGTACATGTGTATAGTGGCAATAAAAAGCATTCTATTCTATTTTATAAGGATTAGTGGAAGGAAGATGGATGATATTGTAATTCAACTAATTATTTCTTTTTT